ATGAAATGTAACCTGGCAGTTGCATGCTTTGCCGTCGTCCCCTTCATACTCACAATACGTGCCATCTGTGTGCCAAGTGTGTTGCCAAGTTCACACTTAACAGGTCGTTAGTCACAATGTGATTTGCTGACATTTCAGCTTGTTATTATTGAGTACGTGGGCACAGGCTGAGCCCCATTGTGTGAGTACCTACACGGCAATTCAACAGCCAAACAAAATGATTGTATTGCTGGGAAAAAAATGATTTATTGACTTCAGGTAAGCGGGGCATGGGCACGACTCATTGCTAGAATAATAACAGTGGCTCTAAAGAAATGGAATTCATCCGTGAGGATGTATAAGTGAGGAGATGGAGCTGTAAAATCAATTGTTGTACAGGAGCTAGGTGGATTATTCTCATTCCAGAATCACGAGAGATGATGGTGGCGCCGAGGAGAGGACATTAGCCAGCAGTGGCTGATGATGATAGACTGATCCATTTATGAACTTGGGTTAAGCACTGTTCTCCATACAATGTGGGGACAAATTCAGCACAGCCTAAGAGCAACAGCTAAAAGCTACATTAAAATGACGGCAGTCGCCAATGATGGCATTTCTATACTGATGAGTCCTAATCATGGTGGAGCCCGATGCCTTTTGCTTAAGTTAAAACTGCCGCAATCTCAGATTGTGTTCACCTGGTGGCCATCAGATAGCAGTGCGAAGTATACACACAAGGATGGTGAAGTCATCTTGACATGCAAAGCATTCTAGGAAACATGTTACATTGTTACTGTTGAGGATACCTTATTGCATTCAAATGATTAATACCTCCACTAAGTTTATAATACACTAAATATGTGACGTTGCTGGAAGATTAATTGCACGGTGTATGAATACCAATTCACATATTAAAGAAAAACAGAGATGATTGATGAATGTCGCGTGTGAATAGCACAGACATAAATTTCGATTTAAAGATTTCGTGACTGCAGGGATTCATCTTCTTGGTTCTTTCGGTAAAGTCACGTAGAAGGGAAGTAATAAAATAATAAAAATAAAACATAATAAAATAAAATAATATTATATTATTTTATTTTATTATGTTTTATTAAATAACTTCTACGTGACTTTACCGAAAGAACCAATAAGATAAGCACAGACATAGTTTACCCATACAGTTTCAGTTTATGGTAGTTAAGGGCGAAATAAATTAGCATATTTCTTCAATTGGAGCGTATTTACTAGAGAAACAATTCAGTTATGGAGATTGCATCAATATCTCACCTTAAATTAAAGTCCTTAAAAAACGTCACTTAGAACGGGCTTGTCACAGGTGATACTCGTAAAACTAAAATTAAATTGATTAAATGAGAGGCAGGGTGTCGTAGTGGTCACATCTGTGCCTCGCAGCAAGAAGGTCCTCCGTTCGATTCCCGACTCTGATGCCTTTTCACGTGGAGTTTGTATGTTTTCCGCGTGTTCTGCATGGGTTTCCCCCATGTTCTCTGCTTTCCTCCCATAGCAAAACAAACATACAAACATCTCAATGCTGAAAAAAACCCATTAGCAATTACGCACAGCAACTTCGCTCTCGACTACGAAAACTTGGCGGGACCCTCCTGACAAAGAATCACGAGACTCAGCTAAGCTTTATTGTGTAAAAAATAAATAAAAGCATGATTAAATAAATAAAGGATGTGCCGCTCATAACCAGCCAAGGTCTGTGATGTGGGATTTGGAGCAGATTAGTCACAACAAGCCTGATCTGAAAATGAAATAGAAGATGATCATGAGCTTTGGCAGCGCATGTGCTTGTTGCATCTCTGGCTGGCTAACAGCCATGAAATCTGTGGTTTCCTTTTGTGAGGATGGTAATTAGAAAGGATTTGCCTTGATTCCTGCAGGGCTCATTAGTGAGGTGATGACAAGAGCCTCGGCAGTAAATCCAGTTCCAAACTCGATGGCCTCTGTAGGTTAACAAATAACGACCGCGCTTGCTGATGATGGTAATAATACATACGGCATTTATTACAACGTGAGTTATCGTTCAACGGAATTAATTCAATTGCCGTCAGTTTTGAGATGTAGCTCTGTCGTGAGATGAGTCAATGCTATAGTGGAGATTTCAGCTGGGTGTGCGGCATAATGGCTCCATCTCACCACTGCACAAGTTTTCGTGAAGGAAGTAAATACATTTTCTGTGGACAACGACCAAACCGGGCAACATTTGCGGTACATTCAGATTTCTTTGCAGGAAAGTGGAATTTCCATCCACCGCTTACTGTTGTCACAGCCAGAATCCAACACGTACAATTCGCCTCAATGAAATATCCGAGGCCATCGGTTCGTGGCCCTCGCATGGTACACTATGAAACCTCCTTTACCAGTGGCAAAATATAGTAATAGGTTTTTACCCTTTCAACTGGTACAAAACTGACACCTTTATACAAGGGATCATGTTTGCAATAACCACAACACAAGCAGTCAAAATGCAAACAAAAAGAAACAACTATGATGATGATAATGATATGCACTGACCTTGAAGTAGATTGGTCCACACCCGAGACAGCTTTTCTTAGAGCCTAGTTTCCATTGGTGTTGGACCAGATGACGCCAAAAGGCGTACAACTCAAAAACAGCGCACTATCAGAGTATTGAGAGCTCGGGGTAAGCATTTACACTATGAGATCTCCTTTACCAGTGGCAAAATATAGTAATAGGTTTTTACCCTTTCAACTGGTACAAAACTGACACCTTTATACAAGGGATCATGTTTGAAATAACCACAACACAAGCAGTCAAAATGCAAACAAAAAGAAACAACTATGATAATGATATGCACTCGCCTGGCAGTTGAAACAATGGGGCTTGTATCCTTGAATCCTCCTTCCCACGTCCACCATTCGGTGTGAATGGGTTACACCACAGTTCTTCGTGTGTGTAGTGGCGTCAACTGTGGGTAAACCCACCTCTTCCAAGACGTCTTAGCCAGTGTGGAAGGGAAAGTCAACAAACTCTACAGAGGGGATTTCTAGAGGTCCCTCTAGTAGAGAGACTCGTCCACCAGCAGTGGCGTGGGCAAGCAATTTGCAGGGCTGCACCTTGTACCCTTTAAAAAAAGTTGTTTATTTTGTACACAAGCTGCATTGGTTGGTAATAATTACCACTGGATCTCAACTTTCGTAGCTGATGAGAATCGACTTAATGTTCTGGCAATGCTCCGTGGAAAGCGATGCCTTTAAGAGCCTCGATGACTCGCACTGACTTTGAATTACAGTCTCCAGTGTGATCCTGTAAACATCTGCAAGCCTCAGCAGCCGGACACAGGTCACCTCTCTATTAGAGGCTCATCGACAGATGCGTGCGATGCTTTGTTTTGCAACGCACAAGCAAATGGAGACGTTCGCTAAACACAGAACCGTGTGCCTTTGTAGTTTTTGCGTAAAGACCTTTGATTGTTCGGCATCGTTAATACCAAGGGCGTTTCGTGTTGGGAATAAATACACGCGTCCTTTTGCGATGGCATTTTAGCCCGGGCTCATGCGCTTTACGAGTCCGATGCGCTCCCAGTCCCACGCAGAGACACCCACTGAGGAAGGGGTCGTGCGACTGAGTAAGTGAGCCGCTGTTGGTTTACAGGATGTGTGAAGACCTTTGATGTGCCGCTGCCATTCACTTCGTGTTTGTTCAGCAAAAACCACACTCGCCCTAAGGTGACAATATTGCCCACATTAAGCTGATTTATGGCATCCCTGGCACACAACAAGGCCACATCGGTTCACTGAAAGCAAACAGAAACGCGAGGCAAGAGAGAATTGCACATATATCAGCACTTTGGGTTTGACTTCGCTGCAAGCACAGAGGGGACAAAGAGAAACAAATACCCGTTGATAGCATTCACTTGATGTGCTGTTGTTTTTCAACTTCGCAATTAATTGCTAAGTATGTTTTGATATTGATATTATCTATATATTATATTAGTATGACATAGACCACAGTGCCAAATGCAGTGATTTGTTAGTTGATACATCGGGGGAATTATCCATCCTTTGCGCACTGAAGTTTTGGTACCAGACTCATCTAATAGAAAAAAAATTGGAAACGGAAATCCATTTAACTTAACACGTTTTTAAAGCGGTAGTTAAAATTAAATAACATTCATATGGCTATGTTAAAGTTTACTCTTGTCAGATGTTCCTGTTTCCTAGAAAGTCATTCAGCAGGCATATAATATCTTAAGTGTATGAAAGTGCATTTTCCTTGAAAGTACTTAAAGTGCAAAGTCATCTGATGAAGCCAAAGCGATTTTAGAGGATGTATGTGTGTATGTTGAACTTATCTCGAACCGTACGTAGCCAGCCATGCTAACAGGAGGTGCGAGGGATGGACAACAAACTAAACACAAGAAGCAGTTCAAAATAAATTATTTTTCGATAAAGACTTCCACATGAAGCTCAAAGCATTTTAAGGGAAATGTCGTTATATGTTGGTGTTTAATTCAGTCTTGAAAATGTTTAAGCCATCGGTCAGAATTTGATTAACACAGTGGGCCATGTATAAATAGTATTTTTGTAAACCTGACAATCTTGCTGGGTGGTGGAGGGTTTTGGCATGAAAACTGCCAGGTTTCCAAACTAAAAAAAACACGTCTTTAAGTGCATTATTTTTATTATTAATAATATGTTGAGATCTTTAGTTAATTATGTATTCTGTGCATTATGGAGATATATATGCCGGATAGAAACAATAATTACGAGGAATTATTATTTAATCATACAGATCAAGTGTATGAAAGTACCTTATTTAAATTCTTGTCATGATATCAATTTCTAAAGTGTATTGTTAATTATGTAAATAGAGAATGTAGTTTTGCTTAATGTATGCGTAATGAATTTGTTGTGTCCATTACTGAATTACCATATAGAGCGTGGAGAATATCCGCACTCAAAAGAGCTGAATATATATTTTTTCGTGAATAGAAGCGCGGCACTCAAGCGTGGTGACTTTTTATTTTCCAGGCCCTCAACGGCTTCGTGTTGGTTGTCACATCGGAGGGCCTCGTATTTTACTCATCACACACCATCCAGGACTACCTTGGCTTCCACCAGGTGAGTCCAGCCATGAGCACTGGACTCACGCTCTGCACGTCGGTACATTTCAGTCATCAAGTGTGATATTGTACCGCTAAATCGACTCACGTGTTGGAAGTGTGTCAGCGAAGCCGAGTTTGATCATCGATACAAATGAAATGTGTTTCTTTTTTCGCCACACGTTGCTTGTCAGTAATCGTAGAACCCCTGTTGCCCGGCTGATTTTTATGCCGTTTCCAGTCCGATGTCATCAACCAGAGTGTGTTTGAGCTCATTCACACCGAGGACCGCAGCGAGTTCCAACGCCAGCTGCACTGGGCGTTCAACCCACCGGGCGGACAGGACAGCGCGACGGACACTCACGGTCTTGCAAAACCATCCGTTCACATCGGCCTAGCACGCGCGTAGCACTTGCGCGAGCAGCACATGTGCATGCGCGTATCCAGGCACGCACCTGCATACACACAGCGTCATAAGCTCACCGTGCATACAAATACATGCAAGCACACGTACAGGAATGGGCTTGCTTGCTTGCTTGCATGCACACCTGCACAGATACCTACATGCGCACGTGTGCATACATGAGAAGCTATGCAAACATTTGCACACACACACACTCGCTAATGATCAAGTGAGCTAAAATTGTTTTCATTGCAGCAGATGTTCATACCTTGCAAAACCATTCAGAAATTATAATTTTTATTCAGTGGTTTCTTGAGTAGTTCTTCATCATTAAATTACATTTATAATTTTTGCAATATGATTTGTTACATAACATTTTATACAAAGTTCCTGATGTGCCAACTGATGTCCATTGCGGCACTTATTCTGAATTGTGAAACGGGTGACTTGCACGTTTGAGCAAAAATATTGGTAATTACTTCATTGCTCATACTTCAACTTTGCAACAACAACAGAAAATTGGGTCATTAATTCCAAGCCAGGTGCCAAGGAGAGTACCTTGAACCTCTTAAGTTCCCTCAAGATTTATATAATCTACTCTAGTAGTTTCAGAACGTTCGTATTTCTTCATTGATGGTCACCCGGTATTCCAATTTCTTCCTTTATATAAACGCTCTCAGAATGTAGTGAGAGCCAAATGAAGAATCTCTGTCTTTGTGTGTGCTTGTGTGGATCTCCGCTACGTTCTCAGCAGAGACTCCGTCCTGCTCGTTCCTGGTGACGTATAACCCCGAGCAGCTGCCACCTGAAAATTCTTCTTTCCTGGAGCGCAACTTTGTAGCGCGCTTCCGCTGCCTCTTGGACAACTCCTCTGGATTCATGGTAAATGCGTTTTGTGTCTGCAATGTGGCGCTGATGAGAGGCCTTAGATATTCCTACTCAACACCTGGCCCTTGTGGTTTTTCTGTGGAAATTAAATTTGAACGTACTGTACGAGTATGCATAGTGTGCTTTGGCAAAACAGTTTCAAGGAGATTGTGTTCTGCATTGATTTTATTTTTTATTTTCAAAATCATATGAGGCGTTACATGTCCTGGCTTGTGACTTGATTTTTGTGCCAAATCTGAGCTTTTTGTTACTTTTATTGTTCGAAAGCCAAGGACAGCATTAGGAGGACCTCGAGTTGTGTATAATCAGCTGCACTAATATATAATTTCAATGTGTGTTGCATGGCCGGTTAGCTGCGAGTGCATTGCAAAACCATACGATTAATTGTTTACAAATGTATCTTAAAATAATTATACAACTTTAAATGAATCTGCAACGCGGATGGGTAACTAGGTTGGGTATCCCAGGTTGTCTTAACAAGAGATTCAAGATGAGTTAACGGGATGAAAGATGTTACATTCATGGCCGGGAACTTCACTGAGATAACGGCGCTGATCTTGTATGAGGATGTATGGGTGTGCTGTCACAGAGGGTTCAATAGTGTCATAACGACGTATTTAATAGTGACTTCAATTTGTTTTTATTCGCGAAGCTTTAAGCTTGTGTTACAGCCAAGTACATATCTACAAGAGTCATTTGTTACTTTTGTCGTTTTCTATCTTGTGGAGTATATTAAATTTCTCATTGTACATCTTGACAAAAGATTATTCAGATACTGTAATTGCTCATTTTATTACAAAATAATACTATGTTTATATATACACACACACACAAGTTAATGAATAATAACCTAAAACCTTAAATACATTTAAGTGGGTTTTAAAGTTTGTAATATTATACGCCACCTCGTGTGATGACTATAAACGTGTATTTGAAATTGTATTAAAACACTTTCAATGCATAAACAGCACATATTCATGCACAGCAATGGTGACATGATGGCATTCAGCCCTTCCCACTGACCTTCAGTGCACCAGCAGGAACGAGAAGGTTAGCCATCCATCCCTTAGCAAGGTTAGTTCATGCTGGGAAGAGGATTGAAGAGGGGAGGTGGGGGTAGAGTATGCCTTGGCGAAGCTTTGCCTTCCGCTGAGAAGGCTTTGCACGCCGCGTTCAACCGGCGTGACGGATCAAAAGTGACAACCCCCTCTCCTGGTATGGCTCTCTCCACGATGCATCCGCCATGAAAGTTATTTTTATTTTGGCACGCCGCATACAGAGGCTTTTGAGAGGCATTTGGCCTGCCTGTGTGCTGCAAAGTGGGGCGACAGGATTATTCCCGGGGGCAGTTAGGTTGTCGCCTGGTGCGGGCCCCACTCGTGCTGGTAGCAGTGGCGAGAGTGCCCGTACGCATGTTTACCTAGCAAAACGTAGCACCAGAGGCCTGGCGCTGCCCAAGACGGGGGGGGGGGGGGTGCATAACCCCTGAGATGTGGGCCTAAACCAAGATGCCAGAGGCAATATCATTGTATGGAGTTGTTGGGGTTGTTGTTTTTTTGGCTGTGCAGTGAGATAAGTGGCGAAGCCAGGCGAAAATGATGGAGATAAACGAGTGATGAATTCAACCGTGACACCTTATGAAATATACGTAATTAAATTACTGATTATATATATGTAACGCTTATATTCAACGAAGTACATTTTTGTTAAATGCCTGTTTGCCAAGATATTAAAGACATTTTATTTCTCAAAACTGGAAAGGCAAAATGCTATTAGCATTTTATTCATTTTCTGCATTTGTGTATGCTCATAGGTGGGGAAAATAAATAAAAAGTTCCAACATCATAAATACATTGCTTTGTGGACACACATATTTGGCTATCGGTAGTCATCATAACACTTGATGATTTTCTAAGGTAAAAAAACACTTAATTGATTAATAATTTCATCACTCTGTATGTTTGTTTACCTTCTTTCACACTTCACGTAGCCAACCGTGATAATCGGAGGTGCGGGGAAAGGACTAATATTAAATATATTAACAAAATTAACACAGATGCTGCAAGAGTAGGCCATTGTGTATCCCAGCGTCACGGTTCAAAATTGCCAAATTTGAAAATGTCTCCAATCAGTAATTTTAACTGCAAAAAAAAACACTTGGCAGATGCCACCTGCGAAAGAGTCATGAGTCATATAAGAGACTTTACAAGTATAAACAAACGTAACAATAAATAATAATACGCCTTCATGAGATCAGTGCGGAGTTTGTTACTGGATGCAGCGGACAGCGACACTATTGGACAGCGGTCCTTGATACCATTCCTCCTTCAAATTGTGTTCCGCACCGGCTGCACCGTGGCTTCCCAGTCGCACCGACGACCTTCCCTTGCTGCACCGTGTGCGGACCCGTGCAGGCGCTGCACTTCCAGGGCCGCCTCAAGTTCCTGCACGGGCAGAACCGCAAGGCGGCCGACGGCAACCAGGTGCCGTCCCAGCTGGCGCTGTTCGCCGTCGCCACGCCGCTCCAGCCGCCCGCCATCCTGGAGATCCGCACCAAGAACATGATCTTCCGCACCAAGCACAAACTGGACTTCACTCCCCTCGGCTGCGATGCCAAGTACGCCATCGGCCGTCCGGCGATGGTGCTGCGGCGTGCAATGATGCCTCCGGGTGTTAAAAAAAACTATTGAGCTGTTACAGCTGATTTCAGTGTCCGAGCGTGCATATCATTAAGTTCATGAATGTTGATGGTTGCGGAAGGTTTCTGGAATAACTCAGCATGGATGGGGCTTAGTGGTTGAGGAGGCTCATACCATTTCAGACCGGTGAGCCAGCGTTGCTGAGATCGCAATGGATAACAGTGTAGTCACAGGAAGCAGCCATGAATGAACTGGATTCTCTCAACTGTGGCAAGTTGATTGACAAAAAAAGAATCATGGGATATATATCATTCTCTTCCAGTTTATTCTATCTTTGAGAATGACAAATGTTGATATAATTAATATTAGCAAACCCTGTTTGTAGGACATATAAAAGGTGACCCTGAGTGCAAATAAAAAGGTCCATTGTAGTGACTTTAGAACTAGTCCTGGAACATCCTGTTATGGGGCAATCTTCCAACACAGGACAATGCACTGCTACATTTGAGGGTTTGCAATGGAAGGTTCCTCATGAAGATGCTGATACATCTTCTTGGTTCTTTCGGTAAAGTCACGTAGAAGGGAAGTAATAGCATAATAAAAATAAAACATAATAAAATAATTCTCACGACGTTTCGGCCACAACGCAAGCAGCCGTCATCAGGTGAAGAACAGGTCTGTCGAGAAGAACAGGTCTGTCGAGAAGACAGACCTGTTCTTCACCTGAGGACGGCTGCTTGCGTTGTGGCCGAAACGTCATGAGAATTATTTTATTATGTTTTATTATTATTGTATTAGTTCCCTTCTACGTGACTTTACCAAAGAACCAAGACGATGAATCCCTGCAGTCACGAAAGCTTTAAATCGAAAAAAGATGCTGATAGCACACTTTTTTTTTATAAGTACAGAAAATATCTCGGCACCGTGACAGCTTTCCAGGGACGTTGGCACTAGTTTTGCTCTTGACATCGACTGTGTGCAGCGTAAGATTCCATTCATGAGTATGAAGGGCAGCAGCTTGAGCAAGGTCAATTATGCGGATGCTGCGAGGCCTTCCTGCAGATCGTCTTGACTGATGCCTCTCTCTTGTCGCTGGTTGTTGATGATGCGTGCAGGGGCCGTGTGGTGTTGGGCTACACAGAGATCGAGCTGTGCATGCGGGGCACTGGGTACCAGTTCATCCACGCTGCTGACATGCTGCACTGCGCAGAGAATCACGTGCGGAGTAAGACTCACCGGCTTGTCGGGTCCGATCCAACTTTCATAGATATCTTTGAAATATTTACTTGTGATGCATTGTTTAAGCGACGAGGGGTTGATAGATTGCCTTCATAGCGTCATATGTGTGATACGTGCACAATTAGAATTACAAGATGGGCTGTTGACACATTATACAGCAGTATGCTTCAGACCGAAACGTGTGGTAAACATGACTGAAGTAGTTGTGGTGGCTAAATATGAATCCCTGCATTTTTTTGCTCGTGCCACTGGTAGTGGAAAGGCCTCGACTAGAGGGGATTCTAGAAAGCCCTTCTCGAGGGAATTTGACCTCTGTTTCCAGACATCTCGGAATAGGCGGGAGCACCAACAATTTACCCCACTACACACAACCTGTCTCTCGACTACCAATTTAAAATGCTGGGTTGACAGAGCAAGGGATGATTTAAGAAACTTGTTCATTATTTCAGTTGCTGGACCAGTAGAAGATCGAGTCAAACCAATGGCCTTTGGATTGTAATTCCTGCGTGCTAATCGTGCAACACCCGTGGCAGCATCCCACGTGAATGTAGGACATGTGCGATAGAACGCTGCGCCTTTGTGTTCGTGCAGTGATGAGGACAGGAGAAAGTGGCCTCACGGTGTTCAGGCTTCTCACCAAGGACAAAGGCTGGACCTGGGTCCAGGCAAACGCTCGGCTTGTGTACAAGAACGGGAGGCCTGACTACATCATTGCAACTCAGCGGCCACTTTCGTGAGCACATCGCAGTGAACATGTATTTTACACAACAGCTACAGAGGCTACCAGGTGTGGTGCTGACCACCCACCACCCTCGTGTGCCATGCAAGCCTTCGCAGTATGCTCGCTCACAGCGCTTGCCACAACAGTCTGCCAATGGCTATTCGGGGGATCGTTGCCTTTGTGCGTGCTTCCCCAGGGACGAGGAGGGAGCAGAGCAGCTGCGCAAGCGCTCGTTGCACCTGCCCTTCACGTACAGCCACGGGCGAGGCGGTGCTCTACGAGTGCAGCTTCGCGCTGCCCCCATCGCTCGACCCCATGCAGCCGAAGGGGCACGGCGGTGGTGGCCGTGGGAAAAAGGGCTCGGGCTCCAAAGGGGCAGCCGGGGGGTCAGGTGCTCGGGGCTCGCTGGATCCCGATTCTTTGCTGGGCGCGATGCTCCGGCAGGACGAGTCGGTGTACGTGTGTCCGCCCGACCCCGTTCCCAAGTTCTCTTTCTCCAAGAGCTACTTCTCGGAGCTGGGCGGCATGGGAAGCTTGGACATTGCGGACCAACTGTCGAGGGGCCGTGCGGTCGACAGGGCCACCATCACAGAGGACTCCTCTGTAGGTTGAATGCAGTTGCGGCTGCATATGCAGAGGTTTCTGATGATGTGTGCATGATGATATCCAGCGTGTCATTTTTTATTGTTTTATTTCATTGTTAAGCCAATGGGTCTTCAAATGCAGTGTTTATCTTCGGCAATTGTACAACATTACAGATTCAAACGATTACCGTGTCCTTGACACATCCGATAATTATCCATATAGTTGCATGAATGTTAAGGAAAATAATTATCTCTGTAATTAAGTAATGCCCTACAATTAATGACGCAATATTCTACTTATGTATGTATGCACGTTGAATTTCTTTCGCACTGAACGTAGCCAGCCGCGCTCATCGGAAGTTGCGGGATCTCACGTAATCTCCTCGTACGAAAACACAAAGTTTTAGGCGCGTGCGACTGTGAGCCGTGCCGTCGACCAAAGTTGTGTCGTTTTCACAGGCCGACATGAAGCCGGATATTAACACGGCCCTCATGCTCACACACGAGCTGCCTGACTTTGGGCAGCAGAGCTGGTCCACGATGGCCGGCCCCGGCCTCGGCGGCGAGGGCGACAGCGACGACGGGGCCGGTGGCGACCTCCTCAGCGCCCTGCAGTGCTTCGGCATCAGCGTGGACGAGCTGGATGTGTTCGAGCAGGACGAGCGGCTCGTGATGCTGGAGCTCGACTCGCTGTCGGCGCAGCTCAACGAGACCATCTCCAACATGGACATCCTCGACTACGTCGACGACTCGCTGAGCCGCCGCACGGGGCAGTTCTCCCAGGGAGAGCTCCTGGCCAAGCCTGAGAGCTCCCTTTCCTGTCCGACCTCATCACAGAGTCTTGCTTACATGCAGCCACAAGTGACTAATCAGCAGCAGCAGCAGCCGCAGCAGCAGCAGCAGCCGCCTGCCAAGCAAGCACAGCAGCAAATGTTTTACCAGGCGAAGATAAACAGGAGATACACCAGCTGGGATGAGCAACAGCAACACGCAGCAATGCACCAGCATCCCCAGACGTCACACCAGCCCCAGCGGCAGAGATTGCAATTAATGCAGCACCAAGCAGGGGCCCTGATCGTCAATGGGCAAATTCAGCAGCACACACAGCAGCAGCAAGCGATGCAGTCATACCAATTCACTCCTTTGGATGACGGTGGTGAGCAGTATAACGTGGAAGCTGCTACTGCCGCTAGTTACACCCAGAGCTTTCCAGCCTGTCAGCAAATGCAGCTGAACAGCAGGGTTGCGGTCGACAGCAGCAGCTACGGCCGCCTGGGCTTCAGCAGCAGCAGCAGCAACGGGGCGACCCAGGCAGGAGAAGGGCAGTGCAGGACAGCTGCAGCCGGAACCTCCATTTGTGGCTATGCCACTCAGCTACAGCAGTTCGTGCCCTCGAAGATGCCGGCTGCTCAAAGCTTCATGCTCAAGCAGAACTTTAACCTGCTGTCCTCTTGCCAGTACCAGAGCCAACAGTGCCCAGCTACTGTCATGAAAGAGCAGCTCACCGGCGAGGTATCTGAGCGGCAGCAGCAGCAACTGCAGCAACTGCAGCAGGAGGACCTCATGATGTCTTGTTCAGGCATCTCATGCACAGTGGAACAGGAAAGGCAGTACAAGGTGAATATATTTACGTATCTACTATAAACTTATTCATTTAAGTGTTCTGGCCCTAGTCAGGACCGAGGCACTATCTACTCCATGTTTTTTTTTCGATTTAAAGCTTTCGTGACTGCAGGGATTCATCTTCTTGGTTCTTTCGGTAAAGTCACGTAGAAGGGAAGTAATAAAATAATAAAAATAAAACATAATAAGACAATTCTCACGACGTTTCGGCTACAACGCAAGACGGCTGCTTGCGTTGTCGCCGAAACGTCGTGAGAATTGTTTTATTATGTTTTATTTTTATTATTTTATTACTTCCCTTCTACGTGACTTTACCGAAATAACCAAGAAGATACTCCATGTTTCTCTGACTTCCGCTGCTCTTTTCAACTCTCCGTACGTCCTTGTTAACATCACCTAGCATCTCCATTCTTTCTCTTGATCTTTTGAGAAATAATAATTCCTCGATGACCTCCTTCAGCGGTGCGTTCCCTCTCGCGACATGCCCAACCCAGCACCGTATACATGCATGCATAATATGTGCAGGATGGTGCGAGGGTTTGCACGTTTCTCACCGAGCTATTTTAGGACGCTTGATTCTTGTGGACACTCGAAAATGTGGCAGAGCATTACCTGGCCACATGATATGCTTGTAGGTGAAAGGTATTGAAAGGTGACATGGCATTATTTAATTGTTTTGCAGTGCGATTATTATTGAAAGTCTCACATTTTAAACGTGTCCATACCCGCGAAAAAAATTCATCCTTTTGCTTGCGAATGCGACGACAACACGTCTCAACCCTAGCACTAACATGGTCAAATAGAAGGATTTGCTTTAAAAAATATATATATCGCCGCGATCTTTAAACGATTCTGTTCTCTCCCAGCTCTCCATGGACCGCAACATCGGAAATGGCAACGTGCTCTACGAAGGCGTCAACTGCGAGCAGCTGAGCAGTTTTCCTGACGGGGAAAGCCTTCCAGTCCACCCTGGCATGAGCCAGCCCATGCCTGATGCCATGCAGTACTTTCTGGACTCGTGAAAAAGGGTGGCAAAGGAAAACCCCATCTGTGCCCTCTTCCAAGCTAGACACTAAAGTGTTACCAGCAAAATGATGCAGTGTTATTGCCATAGAGTAAGTGTGCCACAAAGTTTTGAAAGCTCTTGTTCTGTTTTTAATTTAATATGTATACATGTTTTTGTGATCCTGATATGTGTATTTCACATGCACTAACCTTTTTTTTTGTCATCATCATTATTATTGTTGTTAGACACACATAATGTTATACATTTTTATTTTATGATCTGCAGAGAGTATTAATCTGATGATTTGGCTGGTAAGTTGGTGTGATTCTAAGATTGACCATTAAAGTTCCAAAAACTGTCAGTGTTAAAGGTATATGATATTATGTGTGATGATTATTGCATTTGACACAATATGGAAAAATGTAATGATGCATTATTTTTGGTTTGTTTACAACATGTTGCTGATAAGTCAATGTGGCTATGATAAAAGTAACGCACAAAAATCAGGCATGAAGAGATGCCAATTTTATATGAAAGTATAACACAGACACAAGAGATAAAAACAAAAATCTGGCATACATAACCTGATATTTTTTTTATTATTATGAACATTATTTACTGACTATACTGTAATATATGTACCCATGAGTTGTTTTCCTTTCTTTTTTTAAAGACTATATAAACTTATTATAATAACGGCTGCAACTCTGCAGAGGAAGGAATGAAACCATGTTGCACTATGAAGTGGACCCTGGCCTCTTTTTTTCTGAACTATCTGAAGGATTTAGCTTATTAACATTGTAAAACAATGCTGAGATATTATGTGCTTCCCATGCCAAGCAATTTTTTGAGCACGCTATCGTTCAAGAGACTGTGGCGGTGGTGAATTGTCGGCGGAGTAATCTGACCTGCACCAAAGCGCAGAGTAAATGGGTATTTGTGTAATGAAGGCTTTTTATTTCTATTGTTGTGTAGGTAGTTGTGGTTGTGGTGTCCACCCATTAGGAGAATGGGGCCCCTGTGCAAACTGCCATCCCCCCCTCCCAATTGTTTGTCCCAAGGTGGCATGGTTATGAGCACACACTATCATGAACATAACTACATCTTAACACGGAGGCTTTCGCAACCAACATCACGGTTCATTATTGATTTTAGGGTCAGATCGCGTCAGCTAAATGTGTCGTAAATCCCTCCTCTAATATGCAACAATTGTTAAATGTTGTGAATTTCTCAGCAGTCATAGATTGGCGCGATTGTTCGCGTGACAACCTCATTAATTGGCTGTGTCGGGTGGAGGGAGTTTGCAATACACATTTTACTTACGCGATCTGACCCAAAAAAAAAATGTGCGAATAGCTACACATGCTGACAGCGCCTCCTCAGATCAACGCCCACCTCCCGGCTCTCCGACAATGTGCGTCCTGGTTGCTCCACGCGTTGTTCGGCATGGGATTCACATCGCTTGCTGTCTGGCATAGGAATCACACCGCGTGCTGTTCAACATGGAAATCACACCGCATGTTGTTCGGCATGGGATTCACACACGTGTTGTTCGGCATGGGAATCACACTGCGTGTTGTTCGGCATGTGAATCACACCGCGTGTTGTTCGGCATGTGAATCACACCGCGTGTTGTTCGGCATGTGAATCACACCGAGTGTTGTTCGGCATGTGAATCACACCGCGTGTTGTTCGGCATGTGAATCACACCGCGTGTTGTTCGGCATGTGAATCACACCGCGTGTTGTTCGGCATGTGAATCACACCGCGTGTTGTTCGGCATGTGAATCACACTGCGTGTTGTTCGGCATGTGAATCACACCGCGTGTTGTTCGGCATGTGAATCACACCGCGTGTTGTTCGGCATGTGAATCACACCGAGTGTTGTTCGGCATGTGAATCACACCGCGTGTTGTTCGGCGTGATTTCCATGCTGAACAACACAACCCGAAAAGACATCAGAGAGAGAGAGAGAGTGATTATTATTATTATTTTGTTGCTTTCATTTTGAAATATTCCACCACTCAGTATTTTTTTTATATATAGTTTAAGGTTGTATGAACTGTTGGGTGTGGTGCAGATTAAAGGATTGTTTTCTTTTCATTGTTGTTTTGAATATTGCAGTACATAGCCATAAGCAAATGTAACAATTATGAGTTTGTGAGACGATTGTAGAATACATCGAATACATCGCTACACTACCTATTTACAAAAGAACAAATCAACCAGATGAAAAATAACCATTGTATATATATACATTACGTCTCAAAATAATGTTAATTAACCACTGAAATCTACCAGTATTTAATTGTGCAATTATGAAACGACCAAAACAATGCACAGGACTTCAATAAAGACAACTATGAAGAAATTCACGTGTAATTGTTAAAGTGCCAGAATATAAAAAAACATAAAATATGTTAATAATGTACTTATTTTTAATATTGTCTTACTGCTAAATAAAAGTGGAAGCATTTTGGAATATCTATGTCCAAGTCCGTCACTCAAACTAGATTCATAGATGTGAGTCTGCATGGAGGGTACATCATACCCAAATACAACGGCAAAAGCAACTGGAATCAGATTCAAGTGCAAATCGATTACGCTATTGCATTATGTGTTTAACATCGCAAAGCGACGCCTGTGATTTGCTGAAATACGTGTGGTAAAATAACTGTCCATTTGTTATGAAACAGGATGTCATGGGGTTTGGCCTCCATAGCATCCCTTTCAATTTTCCTTCATTGGAATCAACTCAAGACTGTTGATCTCATGGGCCCAGTTGGAATGGAGCCCTTTCAATTGGAACTTTTAAACATAGATTGAAAACTCATTTCTAGCGAACTGATTTTTGTCTTCAGTTTGTTGTGCTTCATCCGCAACCTCCCGTTTAGTTCGGTTGGCTACGTACGGTGCGAAAGGTCAACCATACGTACATTAACAATATGATGACGTTAATGAGAGAGTAGACATTCGCAGCTAACAGAAAACTTCACGTGAAAAACACGCTGCGATTATTAACTGCGTTTTTTTTTATAATAACTAAATAATTTTAGATCCTGAGAGGAACGACTGTCTACACGTCGATGAACGAGTCTTCGTAAAATAGTTGTAACCGTGTATTTGATGCACGAGTGGCGAGGCAGCTATTCTAGTGTTATTCGGAAGATATTTAGAAGTTTTACAATAGAATTATAAAATAGAATTGTAAAAAACATGACAAAAGAATAATGTTTTTTGAATAAGTAATGATAATTAGTATTGCTGATCAAGCATGGAATTTCAATTAAATTAGTATCTACTTTTATAAAATGTACTTTATATCAACATTATTCTTAATGGTATCATTGTACAGTACTTCCATTTTTATTTCACAATGATCAATGGTGTACCCTTTAAGCGGTGTAAACCTCACTGATTTTACCAGACCGTATTTACAATCCTCAAGTTTGGCACATCATCATCATCACCCATTGTCTATCTACTGCTGGATGAAATTCTTCCCCCACTGCCACCATCCCACATGAGCTGCAATGCCACAATCCATCTCACTCCTACGCGTGAGCTGTGTTCGCAGTGCCATGCCAAGCATCCATCTCTTGCTTGCTTGTGTACTTTTCATCTTTTGTTTAAACGCCTTTGTTATTGTCGATGTTTTTGGTGTACCTCTCAGTGGGAGATGTGCATCGATTGAAAAGTGTCCTTCAAGCAGGCAGAGATGCTCATTTGCATGATCAAATTTGTTTTCCCCAAAGTTGCATTAATCTTGCTCTTGATCGCCTCTTTATTTAATAACGTGTATCCCCATTTACCTTCCATAATTAGCTTCGGGTGTGCATTTTTTTGCTGTGTTTTCCAATTGTGTCCCCTTTTTGTTGAGCAAAACTTTGCTAGGCCCACTTATCACTCGACCATTGCGCTCAGGTTTAACGTTGAAGAAGTAGGATACAAAAGTGTACATCAGCATCGGTGGCTTTCACACAAACTGCTTAAGAATACGCACTCGGTTTTTACCGTTCTGCTGTGGAGTTCTCCGAATTGTTTGTAGGTTGTTCGACATGACGTCCGATGTAGTGCGAAACGTCAGGCACCGTGCTTGACAACACATGGCAACAACCTGAAAACTCAAGTGAGAATAGACACTCAATCATGTGCAGTGCCACATTGTTACGTTACAGAATGTGATCTTGCCAGAGTCTATCCACCAACAAGTCCCTCGATCGTAATTTTTGATAGAGCAGTACCGACGCTTTGCACTGTATAATAGAATCTATAACATAGTATTTAAACTAGATTGACTAATTTAGTGATTACAAACATATAAGGTATATTTTGAAAGTAAAACAAGTTTAAATTTTATTATTAGGGCTTAAACTGTGACAAATTGAGTCTTTACAAAAAATGCACAATATTTTGTTTTATATATAATTATAACAACAGTCACACTGGGTGTGGACACTCTCAACCTACATTTTTATTTTGTTCTTACAAAACAACACGTGTGGCTAAAGTTCACTTTTCGAGGCCTATTACAATCAATCATGTATTGTTCATCAAAATATAAGGGTACAATTTCAAAATATGTAATGTCTACATATTAATAGAATGCAATAATTGCAATTGAATCAAGTCATTGTGCATTCTCAACGTGTGCAGTGGAAGTACAAGGTGTATTTCAAATATCATGGGACATTTTTTCCAGCATCATACTTTGACACTGGAAAAAGATCCCACGATATAGCTGCTCAGCCCGAGCTATAAATGCTCTGATAGTGGCATTGTCTTTGTACCGTGTGCCTTTTGGCGTTCTCTGGTCTGACACTGGTGAAACTAGGCCATAAAGAAGGCTGTCTCTGGTGTAGGCCAATCAGTTTCAAAGACAATGCCATTTATTATTAGAGCATGTTTGTTTGCATGTTCACCACAAGTATATGTGGTTAATGCAGACTTGGTTCTTTGCAAAAGGAATCTATTTGGTGTTTGAACATCTTAACACCCGTTTTAATTGCCAGAAAGGGTAAAACCTATTCCTATTTATCATGGATCTGAAATGCTGTGCAGGAGGCCCTGGGAGGGGCTGGTGACAGCCTATGAGCTTGACATTCAACACAGGACTGAGGCTGAAGAATTCAAAAACATTCACATACAATTTCTTAATGTAGGACAGATCTCTTATGCTTTTCTAAACTTGTATTATTGCGGTGTCTAGACACTACAGTGGTAATATTAAACGATTCAGAAATGTTGAGGCTCATTTACAGTCTAGTTGTGTATTGATGACTCCAGCAGTACTGCTTTTGCAATCAATTACACCGTGAACAGCGTCGTGTTAACGTTGCAAATGGCTAACTCCACAGTTTATATTATAATCATGGTTTCACCTACATTATCGTAATATCCGCACCCCCGATTAGCACGGTTGGCTATGTTGGTATGTATGTTGAGCTTCTTTTACACCGTTTGTAGCCAACCGTGCTAATCAGAGGTGCGGGGGAAGGACAACAAATTAATCACAAAAAGGAGTTCCAAAGAAACTAGTTTTCAATTTAGATGATTTAAAAGTGCATAACTCCAGTGGCTTCCTAATATCGGAAGGAAGAGTGTTCCAGACGGCCGCTGATACGCATCTGAAAGCGTGAAATGCGGTGACCGTCTTTGCTCGATGGCTACCCAAAAGCCGCCGCTACGAGGATTCCTGGAGTTTGCTTGGTGATGGTTTATGCTTCTTGACGAGATCAGCCAGGTATTGTGGTGCATTTTTGGGAAGTACTTTGTGTGTAATGAGTGTGGCTATGTACAGTGCGAAAGAAGTTCAACATACATGCAGCTGGCATATAACCAAAATTCAGTCGAAACAGGCTTCATTCAACAAGGGACACATTCATGTTTCTGTTAAAAACCTCGTCCTGTAATATACTTTACTTACCCAGTGAGAGGCATTGCGATTTATTGGAACTGATTTATGTGTTGGCAGGAATAGATTTTCCACCAGCCTAACACAAAGAGCACGAATTTGGCCATTTTGTCAAAATATTGTTGGAGACTACATGCCAACTCTTTTGGAAGGGAGACTCATCGTTGCAAAATCACCCAAGGCAAATACTCCAAACAACTGCCTACTGCTGTTAGAACATCTTTAATGTCCACCGTATTGCAGATGGGCATGCTTTATATATGTTTTCTGAAGAAAGTACCAAATGACAATGGGAAATTAATGAACGATTCCATCCAAACCGACTCGGTCACAAGTGTGCTCACTGCGATGCTTGGTCACTGGACACGTAATGATGCATCAGTAGAATCAAAGTAGATACCGTATGATGATAATTTGTATTAAAATGTTCACGAAAGTAATACTTCATGTTACATGAATAACGTGACAAAGAAACAATATGAGCAACAACGAAAAACACGAGACATTAAATAATCTATCTATGTGACTTTGCCGAAAGACCCAAGAATTTAAATAATTGATACATTTTTTATTAAATATTGATCCTGACTCGTGACAATTCATTCACTTGTTAAGGGGTCGGGTGTTTGATGACATGTCAACACATAATAGGTGTGGATATGTTTTTAAATTTCTCGCTCACTAAAATGTCGAGTGATATTTTTTTGCAAATGTTCCATTGTGCACCTGGTGCTACACGTGGATCACCGTAACTATTTTTTGTTTTGATTTGCGCCACGTTCGAATGGGAGAAGGCTGAAGTGTTACAGGACACTGCCTGACGAACCAATCTCCAATACTGTAGCCTCTGAGTGGTCGTTCATTCTTTTTATACGACATTAAAACGTCTGCGTTCTAGGTTGAGCCAAGTTAAATAGATCCACATTTGGTTATGCTGCCAAAAAATACACAGCATGTGTAAAAACATGTAATGCTCCTAGATTGAAAGAAGTTCAACATACATGCATACATTGCACTAATACAATGCTACACATTTTGCATTTGACAAAAAACAGGAAATTATATTCATGCATCACGCCTACACATTCAATGAAATGTGTTTTACTGGCCCAGTCAGATGGCTGAGGGAAGCATTGCCATGCAATCGTATCACATTCAGAAGACAATCATGCACAAAGACATTATGGTGAATTCAGTGCAGTACATTTTCCACGTGAGGTGAGTAGTAAGCACAATGTGAATTTTTTTAAACACACTGCTTCTATCAGTGACCTTTGAAATGAATGGCTGTTTTAGATAACGGATGGGCAGTTTGATTGAACGTTATATTGTAAAATACCTAGATTTTAAATGTGCTTTGTGTCATTCAATTATTTTTGGCCAACTTAGTGTGGCATACAGTGTATCATACGTACAGTGTATCATAAAGCTTTAAATCAAGAATATTGCAAACCAGTAGCATTATTATGGTATGTATATTTAAAAACTATAAATACATTTGCTTTACGTTTGTTATCATGTTAAAACATGAGTGTACAAATAATGTTGGTTTTACAGTCATAATGATTATGTCACGATACATATGAGCAATAAATTAATAAACAGGACGATTGCATTGACACAATCAAATCCATCAGGGGGGGTGTCATGGTGTTTTAAGCTCGATGTCAGTAGCACTTTGTGTTGTTATTGTGTATCTTTCAGACCACCCTATTCAATGTTTAATCATCTGTACATGTCACATTTTTTCTAAATTGAACATTACGGATTGTCTATTAACCATATAACGGGAAGCATAACCAAAATTCAACTCTGCCTGGAAATGACAAGGCAATCGGATGGATTACACTATGTAACACAATTTTTGTTCCTGGGTAGTAAGTGTTATTTCGGAATTGCTTATGCCTAAACAGTATAGAAAATGGCTATTATATCCCACAAACTTTGCTTTTATGACCAGGGCAGTAATATTTTGAAATGTACCTATTTTCAATGAGAAAACGGGCAAATTTCTCTATTTTCGTTCACATAAAGTAAATACAAAGAATTACTACAAAAGATTTAGAAGTGAGTCGTTTTTCGAGATTTACGATTATACTGTAAATCACTTTCACGAATCAGCCCCCAAATATCTCCCATCGTGTTCTCGTCATACTGTCCTTGGTAGTAGCGTTCAAAGTCCAGTATATGCTGGTGGAAGCGCTCGCCTTGCTCTTCCGAGTACGTTCTCATGTTCTTGAATTGATCAAATTGAGCATCAAGGATATGGACTTTGAGGGACATCCTACAGCCCATTGTGCCGTAGTTCTTCACCAGTCTCAACCAGCTCTACACATAGTTTTCGACCTTGTGATTGCCCAGGAAGCCACGAACCACTGCTACAAAGCTGTTCCAAGCCGCTTTCTCCTTACTCGTGAGCTTCTTGGGGAATTCATTGCACTCCAGGATCTTCTCTATCTGTGGTCCGATGAAGACACCGGCTTTGACCTTTGCCTCAGACAGCTTAGTGAAGAAGTCTTGAAGGTACTTGAAGGCTGACGACTCCTTATCTACAGCTATGACAAATCGTTTCATAAGGCCCAATTTGATGTGCGGTGGTGGCATCAGCACCTTCCGGGGGTCCACCAGTGGCTCCCACTTGACGTTGTTCCTCCCCACAGAGAAATCGGTCCGCTGTGGCCAGTCACACCTGTGGTAGTGCGCCTTGGTGTCCCTGATGCCCCAAAGGCAAAGATAGCAGGGAAATTTGGTAAAACAGCCTTGGAGACCCATCAGGAATGCCACCATTTTGAAGTCTTGGATGACCTCCCAGCAAGACTGGATTATGGACTGGGCCAGTGGGTCCAGTGCCCCAGGGCCTCGGACTGCCAGCGGGCCTCCAAGCCTCAGGCCGCGCGTGGTGCGTGACCCAAGACTTCAGCGTTCAACTTCTGAAGGCCCCTCAGTGCACACAGCGCAAGCTGACCACTAGGCCCCTGGGTGCTTATAGCGTGAGCCAACCACTAGGGCCCCCCAGACCCCTCAGTGCTTACAATGTGAGGGCACTCCAGACCCCTTGGTGTTTACAATGTGAGGGCCCCTAGGCCCCTGGGGCTTAAAGCATGATCTGACCACTAGGGCCTCTGGGCCCCTCGGCACCTACAGTGTGAGGGTCCCTGGGCACCTCCGCGCTTAAAGCGTGAGTTGACCACTAGGGCCCCCAGGCCCCTCGGTGCATACATCGAGTGTAACACCTGGGCCACTTGGTACATAACAGTGCATGTGTAAAGGAGAGCCGACACAATATTGCAGGGGGGTTAGTCTTTTAATCCTTTCCTCCCATCCACACCTCTCCCCAGCTGTCCCAATCTCGTTCCCGCCAAAAGCCCCTTCTTCCCACCCGTTCTCCCCTCATATCTCCTCGATTACCCCTCCCACTAACCCTCCTATTGGTGGGAATCCTTCCCCCGACACCCCTACACATGCTTAAAACGAGAGCCTCTCGGATTGTACAGCGCTTCTGTACAACGGAGCCACTGGTTGGCACGCTACAATATGCTGTGACATGATACAATATTCACCAACAAGTCAGTTCATTCTGCATAACAGGACAGTTTGAAGGGCGTCATATTACGGCAAGCCGTTCGTTATTTGACTCACCGTCACTAGCTATCCCTTTATTTTAGCTCGCTGTCCATTTTCACTCGCTAGCTGCACGTAAGATTCAGCTTGATAACATAAATTAGTTAGCTAGCTGACAGTTTTGACAGCTAGCTGCCCTTACAACCAAATTAGCTGCACTAAAAAGCCAGCTAGTGAGACCGAGGGCTTGTCGTTTGTTGAAAGCTTAGTTAGCCGTTGACAAATCAATTATTAAAAATACACCACAGTCTTGTGAAACATAAAAAATATATGCCAAAAGCTATATTTTTTCATCTACTAATGCATATATAAGAGACCCAATCCATACTTAAAGATTAAGTTAAACCCCATTCATTTTTTCCATAGACCGTCTGTTTTTATATCCACGGAAGTAGATAATGCTAACGTTGACATGCAAATTGTCGACAGCTCTTACGAGGTCTTTTTTTCCCCTCCCCATCGATGGGATGTGGCCTATGTGCATAGTCTCCACCAAGTCATTTCACTGACTTATCAGAAACCTTTGTTGGTTGTTCAGCCAATGAAAAATAAGTTATCTTTTGAATTTCAAGCAACATAATTCTCTCTGCAGGTATATAAGACATTTCTTGGTAAGAAAAGCCACAGACAGATGCCTGTTTTCTTGCTTGGTATGCCACAGTAATATATTCAGAGACTCCTCTTCTTGGTTCTTTCGGTAATGTCACGTAGAATGGAAATAATAAAATAATACAAATAAAACATAAAATAATTCTCACGACGTTATTATGTTTTATTTGTATTATTTTATTATTTCCATTCTACGTGACTTTACCGAAAGAACCAAGAAGAAGAATCCCTGCAGTCACGAAAGCTTTAAATCGAAATATTCAGAGACTTTTAAATATTTTTATAAAACAACCTTTTTAAAGGCTATTTCAACAATCCCTCCTAAGGGCTATTTTCTAACAGCCTTTTTAAAGGCTTAGTGCTATTTTCGTTTACGTGTTTTCTTTTTTTTATCTACTCAAAGCTGCCTTTAGGTACAAATAGACTATAAAATACTACCACTTGATTGTATTTTTCAACAACAGTATTTGAATGGTGTTGTCATTATTAATATATATAAATTATAATATTTAATAAGTATTGAGATATGCTATAAATATTAAATATAAATAGCATACTAGTTCTAAATATGGACCACAAACGTTGCAATAGTGGTACTTCCAAAAGGAAAGCCAAAAAAGAAAAGGAGGCAAAAGAGGCAGTTTTCCTACAAAGTGTTCACCTCATTGCCAAGTTCTTTCGAAAACCCTCTGATAGTAATGATGACGACAGCAGCATTATTGTCAGCTGTGAGGAAGGAACTAGCATTAGTTCAGTTTCCAGTAATGTCACTCCCCCTAAGCCATCGTTTGAAGGTGAACCCTCAACAGCTAATAGTATACAAGAACCATCATTTCCACCTCAGGAGCAATTGGGCAGTTCACAAGAATCAAATCAGCAACCAAGCCATTCCTGGTGCTATGAGGTCACTGACCCTGCATTATGGCAAAGCACTTTCAGTGACATTGTTAAGTCAGTGCTTAGTGAAATGAGGTGCCTGGAGTTTGTCTTGATCCCCAATAGGCATGCCGAAATATGCCTTGTAGGCCTCACACATCTCAGCCGATGCTTCCATAGAGTACTTTTTCGCTCTTGTGTTGATAAATTGGCCGCAGACATAGCAAAATTCGCATGCCAGATGCTTGCAGCCTCTTGATGCCATCTCATAAAAATGCAGATATGTATCCACTTAGGCAGCTGGAACTAAACTGAATTGGTGGGCTTAAGGCCCCTGTATTTATACTATTTATATTACTGGAAAGTTCTAGAATGTTCTAGAAGTTACTCCAAGTTTACTCAGCACTGAATCTATCTGGAATGTTCTGGAAAATAGGTGAATTTCAAAATATCAATGTCCTGGTTATAAAACCAAAGTTTGTGGGGAATAATAGCAATGTTCTGTACTTTTGAAGCATAAGCAATTAGGAAATAACCCTTACTGCACAGGAACAAAAAATAATTCTTACAGTGTTATTCCTTCAAATGGTTTCCTTAAAAAAAACTGGGAGCACATTTAACATGTTCAGATTTTGCTTGGCCATGAAGGTCAACCACTGGGACAATCACTGACATACAGGTGGGATTCGGCAAACAAGCATTACGCCAGTTGACATTCTGATATTGTAATATACAAGTCCACCAGGGCCCTGAAACAAAACTGCTTCTCAGCAGCCATGGGATCCTGTTGCCCTCTGCTTCATTCCTGGTGCTTTTGTTGTAGTCTGTAACTATGTTTGCAAATAAAACATTTCTTATTACGCTGTAAATCCAGTGTAATATTTTCTTGTACATAAAAAATACTCTATCCTTCACAGACGCAACACTATTTCACATGGGAATTTACAGCAATATGTTTTTTTTTACACTGAAAATATTCTTTCTTATTGACGTAACAATCGGCATCTCTGGTGTGGACCCATCAGTTTCAAAGACAATGCAGAGTACGTTTTTTTTTTGCATTCTGACCACAAGCATTGTGGTGTTTTAACAACTTAACACCTGTTTTGTTGCCAGAAAAAAAGGGGAAAACCTATTCTCATATTTTGGTACTGGAAAAGGAGGTCCCATGATGACGTAACTATCCTTTGCCACTATTGTGATCTGATGAAGCATGAGGTGTGGAGCGGTTTATTTGCATTTAACAACATCACGTCTTTGTTACAGGTAATGTAAATGAGTGGACAGAGTAGCAGTGTCACAGCTGCTCGTAACAGCCGTAGCTGTCTAACAGAATTCCATCAGGTGCACAACGAGACAGAGTACACTAGGGTGACATTCATGTTAATTCGAGGGTTTAAATTCGTTCTACGCTTACGATTAAATGCTTTGTAATAATTTAGCATCCAATTTATCCAGCGTCAAAAGGACGCTGGATATGTGTGGCTCTACGCATGCTAATTCGAACACAATGATTTCATTCCTTGATTTGATTTCCTCAGAATGCATTGCTAAGCTAGCACAATGACGAAGCAGCATTTTTATGCATCGTGAAAGCGTAACCATAACATCAGCGAGTGTTTGTTTTATGCACATCGTTACACCAGCGGTTGGAGTTGTGGTACAGTGGTTAGCACACTGCGCTGTAAACCTGGCGACGTGATTTGAATCCGAGGGTCACGGCTAACATCAGCGAGTCCTCATCACAACCAGATTTGCGCCTGGTCTCACAGGGAGAGACTTTTGAGAAGAGTGTATTGGGTTGTTTTGCATCTCAGAAACTACCACACAGAGCATATCTTGTTACAGGCACGTAGTGCAAAATGGGGGCTGTAGAGTATTTTCATCGTAATCTATGGAAAATGTCTATCAAGAAATTATATAATGGACAAGCATCAACATGTATATGTACATACGATGCTATCGAGATGGTGATCTGAGTTGATTCCTATCCACAGCTAGCATCATGGTGGGTAATATCTGAACCAGTCTTGGGACTGCTCAAATTAATTTCCAATTAATAATGACTACATTTTTAAAAGGCTTGAAGACACAAATATAACAGAAACCCCATCTGTATTCCCCACGCAATGGTGTATGTTATGTTGTTTGCATACATGTGTAAATACTGCATGAAATCGGATGAATCACTGCAAACATGTCACACCCAATTATGTTCAAAAGGTCATTGGCGGTTATAACAGGTGCTAAAAGCCTGGAAATGCCACGTGCCCGATTTGTTTTTCAAACTTACATGAAAGGACATTATTTGCGGGTAATATGCCACGACTGACATTTACTACCTCTGATGTCAAATTTAACAGGCCTCATTTTCAGGATTGTACATCTTCAATGATACTTCAAAATTGTCAATCAATAACGGAATCACTTATTATTTTATGATGAAGTATGGGCAAACAACCCCGATGACTGACACAACACGGGGAGGCCGTCATTCAGTAGTGGATGGAGAAAGGGTAGTAAATTATTATTACTGCACCAACATACATCATCCGGAATGTTACATTGGCTTTCCTTCCTTTCCCTTTTGTACGCATTTCTCAGGTCATAGCTGGTGACCCTAATTCATCAGAGTCCAGAATTGATGAGTTGGTGTCAGCCGTAAGGGTAAAAAAACGTAGTTTCCCAACAGAAATGTGTGCAATTTGTGTACTATAGTTACGCCCATTCACTGCTATTGTTCTTTAAGGAAGACACGCAACCCAAAAAAACAAATGTAGTCATATTTAAAAGTATGTTAAATCACAGAAACCTGAGTTTCAGGAGTTGCTACGATGCCCTTTCTATTCATCCCACTCAGTAACGACTGCTATACGCGTATTTACATTAGGAGTGATTTTTTTTCAATCGATTGTCTTTAAGATAGGTTTCCAGGAGAAAATTAGGAAAACCGTGCTCTCCTCAACGCGTTTACCACCTAGCATTGAATCGCGCATTCAGGCATCTGTACAGCCTCAACACTCAGCCTTGGGCACGAACCCACAGCTTCAAAACTAACCGCACAGCCGAAACAATAAATCCAGAGCCTCAATGCTACCCACCGCCTTAACGTGAATCCAGAGCCTCAACGTTGACTTACAGTCTGAAAACGAAACCCACAGCGCAAGCAGCCGTCCTCAGGTGAAGACCAGGTCTGTCAGACGCTGTCTCCCCGACAGACCTGGTCTTCACCTGAGGATGGCTGCTTGCGTTGTGGCCGAAACGTCGTGAGAATTATTTTATTAAGTTTTATTTTTTATTATTTTATTATTGCCCTTCTACGTGACTTTACCGAAAGAACCACGAAGATGAATCCCTGCAGTCACGAAAGCTTTAAATCGAAAAATGAAACCCACAGTCTCAACATAAACCCAAACAGGTTCATTAGGAGCCCACAGCATCAACATTAACCGCAGTTTCAATGTGCACCCACCTAGAAACCCAGAGCCACACCTCACCTCCATTCACGAGTTGCGAACATCGCACAGCACCTATGGGGCCGTCCATAAATGACGTCACGCACCTATGGGGGGTCAGACATTTGTGACGATGTGTGACGAGGGGGGGTTGAGAAATGTGACGTCGCATCAAAATGCGCAACTTTAAATGAATATAGACAACACGTTCTACTTAATTAAATAGACTTTTTAATCAATGTTTTCTCCTACAACATCAGAGTGCAGCGCCACATTAAATACGCACTACAATGACCGTAATTTAAAGCGATTTTAAGCATGTTTTATTTTTTTTTGGGGGGGGGGGGGCCGAGCTTTGTGACGTCATATTTGATGGGGGGTCTGACTTTTTGTGACGCCGTGTGACGAAGGGGGGGGGGGGGTCAAAAATCGTCCAAAATTGCGTGACGTCATTTATGGACGGCCCCGATGGCAACCACCGTGCACTGTGCATGCCGAGAGCCACAAAGCGTTCGCCAATTTCTGCATCACGGGTGGGCCACGGGGCTGTGTAGGGGAGGCATGCAACCACTCAAGGATGCATTGCAAAAAATAAAACCTTAGAAGGGGTCCTGAGCCTTTAATGGGGGTGCTCAGCCCCACTGCAGCCCCCCCCACCCCCCGCCAATGCTACAGGGCTGCAGTTAACTGGCACCACTATGAACTAGGAAGCTTAGAGAGCACCATGACGACACGAGCGGTTGCAGCCCCCCTGTAGGTAGAATTTCAGAGGTGAGCCGGTCGTGCAGCATTTGTTTACCGGAG